CATAGGGTTGTCATAGGTCAGAAGCAACATGACAAGGCTTAACAACAACACCCATGTTTTAAGCCAAAGCACAGCAGAATCTAAGAGCATTACAATCGGAAACATGGCTTCTTTGCTATGTGTGTTACAGGGAGAAGACAACGAGACGAAAACAGGTCAAAGCTGAGCTCACCAGCCAGTCTCAGCAGCCCCGCCACCACCAGCAAGGATGCACAGAAACTCTCCTCCATCTTCGTATTCAGAGCCGGAGCCCTCGAAGGACTGACGGTATCTTGCTCATGCAGGTCGCAGAAGACGCTGCGGTGTCTTTATCGCAACCATTGGCCAGCCTCACTTTGCCAATAAGGACTGTCCGGTTACTTACTGAGTTTTTAAGAGCAGCTGATTTCAATGCAGTCCAAGAAAAGGAAGAGAAGATGACAAAGCACCACCGATTGGAAGACAATGGTGTTAAAAAGGGGAGGGAAAAGGGGGGCAGCCACAGCACCGGCCAAGCCTGTCTGTCATTTTGCTCCCACTGCCTTGAGATTCGAGGCGGCTTGAACTGCAGAGAGACGCTTGGCTCAGACAGCGTTGACTGTCGGTCAACAAGGCAGGGCAGGCGCATAATAAAGGCCCTGTCTGAAGATGCCCGGTGTTATCCTCACGGTACTGTGGTTAAAGAAAACGGCTTTCATGCAGGCTAGACGGCAGTGATATCAGAGTGCAAAACTTTAATCAGAGGGTGGAGGGGATCTTTCTCAAATTTCTGGGAACGGGAGATACATAATCTACGAGGAGTTGGATAACATTCAAAGTGACCTTGGGAAACTGGGGAAATCAGCTGAAACTGTTGAGATGAAGCCAAGAGTTTGGTGACCAACACAAAGCTTTGGGTAGAATGTGGCCGCACTTCTTCAGATGCCTAGGTAAAGTCAACCAAGGTTTCTGCTCAAAGAAGCCAGGTCCTCTTGAAGGCACAACAACACTCTTTGATCCTGATGGGGAAGAGTTGTTTGAATAACAGCTTGGGAGACATGACACTGTAGGTTTGGTGCAATTGACTCCAGACCCACAGTCACATGAAATCAAACTGAGATCACTGTGGAATCTTGAACCTAGACAACATGATTGATATGTGCAGAATCTGGGAATGTTGCTTTTGGTTAGGTGATCGTGAGGACTACCATCATCCGGAAAAGAAACTTGTTGAAGGCATTCATAATGGTTGACCGTCTTGACAGTAAGTAGTACATGTGGAAAAGATCTTGAGTTTCCACCGGATCACAAACAGAACATGCAACAACTCTAGTGTCCACCTTGCACCCCAGGTCACTTCTTACTGGAGATTGTGGCTGTGTTTTCACAGTGCTAGGTGAGGGAAGAAAATGCTCAGAGGGATTTAAAAAAACCCCTCAGAATTCTGACAGCTTCCTCGTCAGGGAAATCGTTCTGAAAAGCATCCCTCAAGTGGATTAACATGAAATGTAAACTACAGTACTGGCGGCATCTCTCAGAGGGAGCACAGACTTAAGACAAATCCCGAAACAGCTTCAGGCAAAACATTCAAAATGAAAAAGTTAATACCTGATCACCTTTGACACGTGTTTGCCTAACAGGTTTTGAAATCATCTTTCTTCAGCCAGCAGTTTGAAGCGGTTGCCTTCTTTCAGTAAGGCTGTGGCGTGACAGACAGTTCCCTAATGAAGCTGGGATGGGAGGGTTGGGGCGGTTTGGGGCTTCTAAGCCCAGCCTCTCAGAGGATGATTGACGGGGATCTGTCAAGGTGCCTTGGAACTGACACCTGCTCAAAGTCCGCTGTGTGGAAAGGCATGGAGGAAAAGGGACAACATAGAAACTTCAGAATTCTTGGCCACAAGAAACAGCAACAGCCATCCACTCCTTTACGCTGATGTTTCTGCAAGCCAAAGATGTGCATCTCTTTTCTATGGGAATGTATGCTTGGGTTTTGAGTCCAGACGCCACATCCAGAAGAAACAAGAAGGGATTAAGATGGGCTGAGCCTTTGTCAGAGTTGAAACAATGATTCCGTCATTTTTTGCTGCAAAAAATGGTGGAATCACTGAAGGAAGACCCAGGATAATCACTTCTTAGCAAAGCAGAGAGCTGACTAAAGATCATCACCTTTTGGAGTGACGGATAGACAGAGTTTGGAAAATTTAAATATTTGGACTACGACAAAAGAGTGCACACACCACTTTTAGCTTCTTGGAAGAAAGATGGAATCAATCAATGGCAATATATGAGAACAGAGTGTGGGTTACGCTGTTCCCGTTTTCATTTGCGAAATGTAGAAGCATATGCAGTGACAGCCAGCACCGGGAAAAATGTTGTTTTGTATTGTGAAACGGCCAGTTACAGTTGTCCTGGGCATCTCTCGGCAAAACTCAAATAGGACAGGGAACTACTGGAACAAGCTGGTGGTTATTCCCCACCTTCACTGATATTTCTGAAGGAGCTGGTGAATTCCAATAGCACCAGCTGCTGTGAATCAGACAGGACTTTTATAATGTTCTCCAGGGAATGTATGTGCAGAATTCAAGTGTGCATTCAAGTGCAGAAAGACAGGCTTTGGGGAAATGAAGAATATTAGATCTGGTCTCTCCTAAGTTGTATTGATTTTAAGGCATCCCACACACCACCCATCTTGACATTTATCCCAAGGTGGTTTGCATAACTAGCCGGAAACTCGTGAGCTTGTGTTCCTTGAGTCCTGATGAAGGCAAACTCCCTGTGAGGGGAGGAAAAAAGGTTACTATGTCCTGAGAAGCACCAAACCTTTCTCTGACTGGGTGCAGCATGTTGTCACCCCAATAAAACCTAGTAGATTTGGAAGTTCTGGATGTGATCTGTGGTTTCTTTCTACACTCATGCCTCCCACCAAGCTGGGTGTGTGTGTGCAACTTTTGTGAAATATGTTTTATCTAGACTTCCCATCTGATGCACACGCCTTGGAGTTTTTGCTCATTCTGGATAGCTGTATTTTTCAGTTGTGATATGCTTTTCTCTTATTGTCCCATATTTTGTCTGTCTTCACCTGTGTTTACATGTTTGGAAATGTCTTCTCTGTCTGGAGTGCCCCACGTGCTTGCCGGTACATGTTTGGAAATGTCTTCTCTGTCTGTCTGGAGTGCCCCACGTGCTTGCCATAAATCGATTTGCCCTTTCAAGGATACCTTCTCGGGAGATATTTGCTGGACCCAGTCTTTATTGACCCACCTGGCCGTGCATCGCAGTCCTGGTTGTGTGGGAAGTTGAATTATTATGATTACATTTCTGCCATTATCTTTTGAGTGATGTTCTTCCTCCTTTCCTTTGAAACGCTCCACAAACCCAGCAATTTCACTTTCAGAATTAAAAGACAAACTCCCTGGCCTCGCAACACTTTGGCAAACCAACCAATTTACTTGTGAATTCAAAAGGCTCTTATATACGGTAAGAAGTTTTTAATGAGGGGATGATGTGATACAGAGATAATTTCTGGCAAAAGGAAAAGAAACATCTGAGGAAGTGGACTCGCCTATGAAAACTCACATTAAAACAGCAGTTAGTCTTTAAGGTGCCACCATGCTTTTTTCTTCGTTACTGTTTATTTTTCTTTTCTTTTTGCCGGATAGAGTAGCACAGACTAGCATGGCTACCTCTTCTAAAAGTCCATTACTCTTGCAGTATTTTGGGGACATTAGTGGGAATGAAAAATCAGCTTTTGTACTGAACCCAGGAAAACAGCATCAGTCTTAAGCTTACTAAATATGTTGCTGTAGTTGCAAAAAAATTAAAAGCAAGCCAGAAAAGCTTACCATCTCCTTGGATGCGCCTACTTCTAGGACCAGCAACTGCCTATCAAGAAGTTGGTAAGTGATTTCTTGAGCCCTGCCCCATCCTCCTACCTCAGAGTTGCCTCCCTCCCTTTCAGCCACCCTGGGGCTCTTTTCAGTCCTAGTAAATCAGTCCAAAGCGGGATGAGCAGGATCCCTCTAAGCTGCATGCCAGACCATTGTGCAAACATGAATGCGGGCTTTTGATTCGGAGGAGCTAAACATAATCCTCATGGCACGATGGAAGGCATATATTTGTTCTGATCGGTGAAGGCAAAAGGATCCTTCCTAAGCAGCACTTAAAAACGGTTTCCACGGGCACCCTACAGTCACTGCAGCAGAATCCGATCAGTAACCCGCCTGCCATCTAGCGGCTGCCAAAACGCCTCTTCGCACTCGCTGGCAGAGGGTCCACAACTCGAAATAAAACGGAGCAGACTCTGGGACTGTGTTTTGCAAATGTGCAGTGGCATCTCTGTTGCCACGGTTTCAGGACCGACGCTGCAGGGCCTTGCCAGCGGTGGTTAAAAATATGCAACCTTGCCAGTCTCTACCCTTCTAGGTACAAGAACCTTCCCAAGAGAATGAGGCCTCGTACAAACCCTTCGGGGTGCGGCACTTTTGCTGACAGGGAAGTTCTCCTGGGCCTGCTCCACGCCTGCCAGGACAGAGGGGGCTTCCATCATGAACTGAGAACGGCCTCTTGAAAGCCTAATGTGATCGGAAGCCTCAGGTTCTTTCTGCAAGACACACGGACGGCATCTCTTCAAGGGAGAGCCCTGTGAACAGTGAGAGGGTCTCCGGGAGCTACATTTTTTTTTGGTCGTAGGGTTGGAGAAAAGCCTCTTTATCCCCAAAGTGGTATGAATCTGTTTCTCTCTCACCCCTGAGCTATTGTTTGTTAAAAGAAGACTGTTTGGAGAATTATAAATATTGGTACCTTTTGAATTTCTGCTCCCTTGCCCTCGAGTCTTTAACATTCACCCCTGAAGTCGTGATATCCAGAGGCCATTTCAGATTCTTCTTGAAAAGTAGCAGTTCGTCTCTACGCTAAGGAATAAAACTGCTCCTGTTTAGAAACCGAACCGAGCCACTTCAAACGAAGTGCTGCTCACGGCTTTTCAAGAACTTAAGTTATTCTTCCAGTACTTTAGAAGAAGCTAAATCATGCCCTTTCCCCTCCTGCATTAATATTGTTTATTTGAAAAAAAGAAAGGGCAGAGACAAGCAAAGATATGGCAGGCACTCTTAACACCTTTGGAATGGTGGTGGAAGTCCTTCACTGCACATACTTCATGGCTTTGCTGAGGACGGCCATGCCGTTCAGCTCCCGCAACCGACTGGTGTGCCTGAAAGTGTCAAAGCAAAAGAACAAGATCAAAAGAAAGGCAATTGCTGGGCTAATAAATGGCTTTTTTTTGTACCACTTAACAACTAATAGAGTCACAGGCAGCAGCTGGGTAAAGAATCCACACACAACAGTCTACAGAGTTTGCACAAACAAAAAAAGTTGTTGTCATTTTTAGGTTGGGAGGAAAAAAGCCCACCAGTGACAGGTAGGGAGAGATAAGGTGGGCAAATTATTTCATCACGCCACTTATGTGCCAAGGAAGAGAGTTTGCCTTCCACTACCAACTGCTTGCTGGGCAAAACTGACATCAGCATCTGATAAGGGCTGCCACCAAGGGAACGGGCAGTGCAAGCTCATCCTGTTTTTTTAAGAATGAAGATTCTGGCACAGCCTCCCTTTGGCGCAACTAACACCAGTCAAAACACAGATGTGCTCACTCCCAACACCTACAGCTTCTGAAACAAATCATCTGCTCTGCTTCAGAGAAGTACAGTTTGGCCTGGGAACAGAGAATCTATACGCTGCCTACGCAGCGCCCAGGCTGAACGGCGACTGTGATTTGGTCAAATAGAAGTCAAGGAATGTCAGCTTCAAAGAAAAGGCACCAAGCAGGTTTCAGCTATGTACAGTTGCTTTACGGCTACTTCCGTGTTCGATTTGGAGCAGCCTCTTTGGGTCTCCTTCGTGCATGGCTGGTTCCCTTGGGCAGGACTGGGACCGAAACCTTCCAGCAACAGGGAAATCTATCCCTCTAGACGTCCGTGGCTTCCCTGCAAAGTTCAGGTGGAGCCAGCGACAAATACTCTGGCCACTCAAATCAGTTGGCCACAACTAAACCACTTTACAGCTTGATCCCTCCGTATGTTTCCGCAGGAGCAAGTCTTACTGGCTCCAGCAGAGCTTATGAAGTCTTGGCTAGCCAAAGACTGCCCTGGGGAGGTGAGTCAGAGGTTGGAAATAAAGAGTTGAATGTGGTCACTCATATATCTTTCTAGCGAATTCTGCTGGAAATGTTTTTCTATGTCAAAAAGGTGGATCAGGACAAAGACTTGAGATAATGACGAAGCCATCTAGCGAATGACTCCCCCAGTCTGTGTCAGAGCCTGGCTGTAGGGGCTCATAGGTCTCCATCTCCGTGACCCTCTTTGTATGTCAGAAGTAATTCCAGGAGGCAGCCAACAGTAATGCCACCGTCCAGCCATGATGTGTCATAATGTTCAAGCCACCACCTTACAGGTAGGCCTGCATACAAGTTACTCACTGCTCCAAGACAGTTCAATGACGTTGGCTGTGCATACAAGCCCAGCCAAAGCCGCTGAGTCCAGCTCGAGGTGAACCTTTCCCTTGGGATACTTGCCTGGCATCAGCTGTGCAAAGCTTCCCTAAAGCAATGGCGGCATTCTCCTGCACAGAAGGGGCCTGGTGGGCCTCCCCTCCAGTGACTTTCAACAAAATCCGCACAATGTCCGTGTCGAGCAGATCGGTGGCGGTCCCGGGCACCTCAAGGCACTTCCCGAGGCAGAAAGCAGCATTTCCTGCCACCGCCTCCTTCGGTGAGCACAGAAGCTTCAGCAACGTGTGACACTCTAGGGAAATGGGGGGGGAGGAGAAGCATTCCCAAAGTCAGGCACCGCAGGGGGAGCAAAAGGCGGGCAGGCAGGGAGGGCGCAGGGCAGAAGAGAGGATGGGCATTCCTCGGTTATCCTCAAGACAGCCGAGGCGCCCGCTCGTGGAGCCTCCCCCACACCAGCTCTTTGCCAGGAGAGCGCCTGCACTTACTTTTATCGAACTTCACCATCTGTTCCTGAGCTTGTCGGCTGCTTTTCACGCAGCAGGCAAGAATCTTCAGTGCGCAGGCAGATGTTGTCTCCTCACCTGCCTGGGATGGAGGAGTTAGAAATAGGCACCAGTGGGAAACAGGTGCCCATAAAAGGCACTGCTTCCAGACAGGGACAAGCAGGAGGCAAAGGCCACCGCCCAAGATAATTGTTTAATGGGTGGCTGTGGGGCTACAAGACATCACGTTAGAAGGTACTGAGGCATACACAGGGCATGTTGTTCTTGTTTTCCTTTTTAAATGTATTCTGAGCTCTCGGTTGCATCCAGGCAGAGCCTCACAGTGGGATTCCAACTCCAGCACTACAACGATACATAATCCTTAATGGGAATACTGGACTCTCCAGGAATATAGGTGAAGTTCTTGCAAGACATCTTCAGGGGTATTTCCATACCTGAGTTGCTAAGTCTATGAAAGGCCTGGCTTTTCTGAACACTACGTGGATAGGATGAAAGGTTTTTCAACTTTCAGGGACACAGTGAGCATTTCACTGGGCCACACGTTTATTCAGCAGTGAACACCCATTACCATTCCAGCAAGATCAGGTGATCCTCGGCTGGGCACCAAAGGCTTCCGTGTTCGTCTAGCGCAGTAAAACAACTACGAGGCCAGATGCACCTCAGTAGAACTGAGCTTAGAGGGTGAACATTTCTAGGGAAGGAGAAGTGGGGACCTTTGTAATAAGCTATTCAACTTCCCGAGTAACTGGAGATGGCAAGGTGTGCATTTGGCAGCTGTAGGAAGTTTGTTTGATATGAGGCAGATTAATATACATTTGTTCATACATCGGGCCAAAGACATCTGAAGGGCATTATAGGGGGAGGAGAAATCCCTCTGTATGTAGAACAGAAGACTGAAGTTGGCACATTACCTTCAGAAATTGGATCATTTTCTTCACCACACCTTGCTTCATCGCTTCTTCCAGTGCTGACAGATTGGTCGGCAGGATGAGACTTAAAAGCTGAACTGCTCGCTTCATGAAAAGGAAACGGGTGGCGGGGGAAGGGAGAGAAATCAATCTTCCTTCAGAATGAATTACGAGAATTATTCACCTTGTGGTCTTTTTGCTTTAGCTGACTGGGCCTTCTGCTTTATGCTTTGCTGTTTATTGCAAAGGTTCCCCTTGACATTTAGTCCAGTCATGTCCAACTCTAGGGTGCGGTGCTCATCCCCGCTTCCAAGCCGTAGAGCCAGCGTTTGCCTGAAGACAGTTTCCGTGGTCACGTGGCCAGCGCGACTAGACACGGAACGCTATTACTTTCCAACCAAGGTGGTGCCTATTTATCTACTCACATCTTTACATGCTTGCGAACTGCTAAGTTGGCAGGAGCTGGGACAAGCGATGGGAGCTCCCTCCGTCACGTGGGTTCGATCTTACGACTGCTAGTCTCCTGACCTTGCAGCACAGAGGCTTCTGCGGTTTAACCTGCAGCGCCACCACGTCACACAAAGACAGTAACTAATCTCACGCTCAGCCGGTGTATGTGTATAAAGTTTACATCACCGCTTTTGGATACTAACTCCCAGAATCTTCTGACTAACCAAGCCTGTGGCTGGGCTGACTGGGAGACCTTTAGAATTGTACTCCTGTTCATTCCAAACATCAGCCACATAAAACTTTCAGAGGTTCTCTCTGGCCTTCTTTCAGAAGAGAGCTGAACTGGGGTTCAAGGCTCCAGTCCTGAAATTTCTCACTGGCAGTGGGGTGTGGCAATATCACGAACGTGCAACTTCACTGTAAAAAATGGTGATCCCTGGGGCCTTGGCAGGCACCGCCGGTAGACAAAAGACGACAGGCCATCCCTGGATGGCAGACTGTGTCGCATTTAAGTGAGCAATGAAGATTTGGAGGATGGAGAGCAGTTAAGACAGAGATTGGGGCCTACTTGTTTGGTTATTAAACCCCTTCCTTCCGACCAGGAGGCACTTACTGTCACAATTCTTCCGTCTTTACTGCTGAAGAGAGACATGCATTTCCCAGCCATTTCTTCTGCATGTTCCTGAAACAAGAGGTAGGCTTAGGGTACTCCTGTAGCTCACAGGAAGCAGAATAACCCTTGTCTTGGCTGTGGTTTATTATAGTGCGCTCTAAGAGGACAACAATACGCTGCTTCAGCTAGGGAAAATCTCAGGCTGAATCACGGCTCAAACACAACGCTCGTGGGGTGATCTTTTACTCAGGCTATCCATCGCACTCCTGCTCCCGGGATTTGTGGCAAGGATGAAAAGAAAGGTACCGTGGATATCATGCCTGAAAGAGGGGCAGGGTGACATGATCAAACATTTGGCCTCCATTTTATCCACTCCTTTTATTATTTGTTTACTGCATTCATAGTCGGCCCGTTCCACTTCAAGACCATGTTCAAGGTGGCTGGCCACCTTTACCCCTTCTCAAGCTGCTGCTCTGTCCCTTGTCCTCACTTCTGGGCTTCAGGAAACGTAGGATAGAACCGGTTTTTAGCTGTAAGAGTCAGGGACACAAAGGATGCTCTCTCATTGTTTGTCTCAGGAAGACAAAAAACAAAAAGCAAAGGCCTATGGATAAAGGGAGTGGACTGAAAGGCCCAGAGGGGACAAGCAAATAGGAAGAGGAAGAGGTCAGCCCAGTTCCTGGAGGGATGCAAAAGCATGGAATCTTCTTCTAGCACATTGCATTGCGCACAGAAGGTCCCAGGTTCCACCCACCACATCTCCAGAAAAGCTCCTGCCTGAAGCCTTAGACAACCCCTGCTACCAGTCAGTGTTGCCAGTGCTGGTCTAGATGGATCAAGGATCTGATTGCACATATGACACCTTCTCATTGTCCTCTTTTTAAGAAAACCCAACAGCCTGTCAAACGTTGGTTGTGCACAACAGCCTCTGAGTGCGAGTGGAAGAAAAGAGAGAACCAAAGTTTGAGGAAGTGGATGGATTGGGGCTTTTACTGCTAATAGCATCCTCCAGGGGAAAAAAGCAGCCAAATAGTTCATTATCATCCTGAGCAGAAGCAGGAGATGGGGAGACACTGTACAATGTTATGGCATGTCCCATGTAATCATGGCAATAATCAGGCATGATGGTACGACCCGCTCCTCTGACTCAACTACTGCATAGGGCCACTTGTCCTTAATGGTTTTCCATGAATCTCGCTTGGGAGAGAGGCATTTCTCAGGTATTATGGATGCTTGTTTTGCAAGCCTCACCTTCAATTACAGAAAGAATTCAGGCTGTAGCTAGACAGCACCGGCAAGCGCAGATTAACTGCCATTGCTCACCTTGAGTTCATTAGCTGACATCTTGGAAAATGCCCATTATTTACCAAGATGCCAAAGTATTCTGTGCCTTTCCCTTCACTGAGGTTTAACTTGATGCCTTCCCAGTTCTTGGGAGATCAATATAAAGTGGTTTTTATTGTTTCAAGACTGTGCCCTGGTGGTTTAAGACTGAAGTTACTGAAAGGTTGCAGATGATCTATTGTGATTTTTATTAGTGGGCTAGAGGAAATTAATTCAGATTATCTTGACATCGTATTCTGGTTTCTCAGATGCATCGTTACTTTTAATTTGTCTGGAGCAGTGTAATGTCAATATTACCCAGACGGTTGCAATGTTTTAAAAACACTCTTAAAAAGCAGTTAAGTGTACAAAATTGCTGTTCCCATGAGCATACAGTTTTGTTTGCTGTTTCTCTTCCTACAAAAGGTATGTAGGATAATTTTATACAGATTATCTAAAACCGTGGTTTCCACTATTTCTGATTCTTATCTTCCTACGCATAGAACTACAGTGAAAACAGCATCAGCGTGTCTACAGAAGAAGGAGGTCCCAAAGGGTGTCTGTCCCTAATTCCATGGCCCCAGCAAAATAGAAAATAGGCAAGTTCTCAAAGTCTGTATGAAGGCGGTGCTGCCTGGGGCTTATGTTAATGGGAGGAGAAGCATAAGGGCACATCCTGGGGAAGAAAAGGCCCAGGAGAGGCGGACTCATTTACAGGATATTAAAATACAGTTACAGTTACACTTTGGGAAACTGACTTAACAAGGGAAAAGTAATCTTTACCTAATCCTTTACCTGCATAATCAAACTGTGTTCCAAAGAGAGGTTCATCATTAAACCAAGCACTGCATATAGAGATTCAGGGTACCTGGTGACCTTGTTTTCTTTCCAGCATTCATCCTGCAGAAGAAGACATGATAAAGTTGGAGTACCCCAATCCAGGGCAACTTAGTGCCCAGATATATTACTTTTCTCAACCACCAGAATTCAGCTAGAGACTGTGGCCAAAAGAAGGGGGGAATAATGCCTCCAAGCTCTGCTCTAATACAGACCCAAAAGGGGTGGAAAGAAGCCACCTTTAAGCTGTCACAGAAAGAAGGTCTCCTGCTTTGGGGGAGTTCCCTTTTAAAGTGTATCAGGCCAATACAAAAGAAAAACAAAAAATAAGACAAAAACATTGTGGCACCTTGAAAACGGCTGTATTTTAATGTGAGCTTTTGTGGACAAGTCCACTTCCTCCCATCACCAGTGTAAAAACAGTGGTCACTTCCCCAGCCCCAAATATCAAAAGCACAATGGAATGTTCCTACTTCATTTTGGAAACAAAAGGCTGAAATCCAGCAGGACGTTACAGTGGCTGGATTTCAGCCACTGGGCCGGCTGAAGCAACAGAACTTGCCTAGATGCTGACGCACACGTGTGTGTGTGTGTGTGTGTGTGTGTGTGTGTGTGTGTGTGTGTGTGTGTGTGTGTGTGAGTGAGTGAGTGAGTGAGTGAGTGAGTGAGTGAGTGAGTGAGTGATTACAGTTGACATGATAAGGTGGCATTTGTATGGCCGTTGGTATGCGGTGCGGTTGGTCTTTCTCATTTTTCTCCTGAGAATGTGTATCTGTGGCTGTATCGACATTTGAATCAGACTCGCTGTTAAACACCCTAAGAGTTTTATTTTTTAATGCATTTTCCCCCTAGAGGGGAAAAACATAGAGGGGATTTGAAACAAGAGGGCTCCGCAGGAAGAACAAAAATAGGAGTCGGAGAAGGCTGCAACCGACAAACATCCAGACACACATTTAGTTTATTTGACATACTGTCTGTCTTCCTCTATTTCATAGGCCACCTTTCTCTCCCTACAAGTTGACTTGACACACAAGGAGAGATGGCTGACCTGCCTTTCTCCACTGACACATGAGACAGACAGAGGGAAAGTTGCTTGGGATGGCAATAGGGGCAGGGCTACTCACCACCAAACTCAAGCACGCCTGCCAACATTCCTGGCTTTCCACCATCTGCAGCCGGATGACCATGTCGGAGCAGAGGTCCCCCAAGACAGCGATGCACTGCGCCAGGGCCGGCTCGTTCACCCTCCGGACCGAGGTCTTTGGCAACAAGATCAAGAACAGATTGTCTGTTGAGATACTATGAACGCCGGCACAGCCAGAAATGTACACAACGGTCATTTCATCTGCAGCTAATCCACCCTGGATGTTTTTAAACATGTGTATTCCTGAACAGGGCCAGAACCTCAGAGGGACAGCTCTGAATCATCAACATGTTTTATTTTCAACCAAAAGGTGAAAGGAAAGGCTTCGTCCAGCGGTGACAAGGGTGCCATGCCATGTCCTTGTCATTCCACTAAAGAAGCAAGGGGGGGCGGATTTTTCGGAGCACTGCTGCTTAAAGCAGCTCAACCAACGTGTGAGACCAGCTATGAACTACTTTTCCAACCGTGCTAAGAACACCAATAGAACAGTGGCAATGAGATAAACACGGTCTGACTGTTCTTAACCTTACTTCATACTTGAATAATACCTTGAAACAGATTCTCTTCTCAAGAAAGGAACAATAAAGATACTCAAACTCCATGACAATATCTCTGTCTTACTGTAAACAGTGACACACAAGAAGACACTCCTAGCTCAATGCATAGCTCTGAAAGGACGAGAGTCTTATTCCTCATCCCCCAAAGCAGTTGTGAATCCCATAATCAAACTTCTGCGAACGACTGCAAAGCAGACAACTCCAGAAAATTCGTGGATGTAGGGCAGACCATGGGGTGGGGAAAAAAATGAACAAAACCATCTTGCTTGCTCAGTTGGGTCCCCTACCATTGCGGCCACAGCTGCCTGAGCCATGCCCTTGGCTAAGCTGACTAAGATGGAAGAATGGCTCCAGAAAACATCCGAGGTGCACGTGGGCACTCACTTCATTTAACAGCCACAGCTGCCTGAGCCATGCCCTTGGCTCCAGGAAACATCCGAGGTGCACGCGGGCACTCACTCATTTAACGTCCTAGTTTAAACTTTGGATTCTGGATGTCAGTTAACTATCTTAACGATTGCAGTTTTAATCATAACTCACGTCTGCACACATTCGGTATGAAAGATAGCTGCAGTATAGTAAACACAGCCAACATTCAGGAACAGAGAAATGTTCTTACCAGCAGTTCTGAAAACAGTGGCAAAACCCCTGTGGAGAGTTTGATACGGCATTGGATTTTGAACCTATTAGCAAAACAAGATTTTAAATTTTAGCTCTTGATCCTCAACAGAGAGAAGAAGCACATCAAAACAGTTCAGCCTTTCCACTTAACAGTGACATTTCTGAATGTCGTCCAAAGCTTGTACTTTATACATATTTTAGCTACAGAATTCACTAATGCACAGGGCGGAAATGGCTGCTGAGTGTTGCTTTTTTAAAAAAAGGATTAGACCAATCCAGGTTGGTATGAGGCTGTCAATTCACTACTAAGCAAGCTATTACCTCCTGGATCAGAAAAAAGCATTTCCCTGAATACCAGTTGCTAAGGAACAACAGTAGGCGAGACGGCCGGTGCTTCATGACTTGCCGATGGACTTTCCACAGGCATCTAGTTGACCACTATGGGAAAGAGGGGGCCAAAGAAGATCAGTTTTTGGGTTGATCCAGAAAGGGCTGTTATTAGATTCCCCCTACAGCTGAGCCGAAGCTGAAGGTGCCAACAGTATCTGCTGGGCAACCTGTGAAAAAGGAATCGAAGCACAAGCTCGCTGAAACCGTCCTGAACTGAATGCCTTAAAAGGCCAGTCGATGCCACTGCACTCCGATGGCTCAGTACTTGCACCAGTCTATGCCCGCCACTGCTTTTGTCCTCTCCAGCAATGGGTCCTTAGCAACCTGTTGTCTATAAACTTGGCACACACACGGGCATCGCGCACAAAAGTATTCCAGCTGCACTGCTATCTTGAGAGACTCCTAACACAGAGCTGAAATCCCTGCCCTCTAGAAACGGCTTCCAGCTTTGCCACAGAGATCGGAGGCCAGTTCATTCCCCAACCTCCAACCCTGGTCGACCGAGAGTTTGGAAGAAATGTAACCTACTTCTCCTCCGCAATTAAGCTGGTGAGCAGGTTCATAGCACAGGTAGCCCTGCCGTCAAAAACCTTGACAAAGGACATCAAGATCTGCAGCCATCTGGAAAACAAAGGCAGATACAACTTGGCTGAGAGAGAAATGACTTTGCATGGGCAAAGTCAAAGGAGAGTGACAAGCAGACCATCCGTGAGGAGCATTCTTAGAAGTCAAAGGCACTCCCAGCAAAAGGGGGGGGGCAGCACTTCCATGCCTCAAAGAACACAGGTGGGACTGCTTGAAACTCTGGGTCAGCCGAACCCTAGAAAAAGTCTTAGCGAGCCCACGTTTTGGTGTGCCCAAGCGATAGGATTCGACGTAGCCTCTTTTCAGCAAATCCAGTTCTTTCTGTGAAGCTCCTCTCATGCCCGAAGAATCCTATGAATCAGCTCTGAAGCTGATGAGTTGGGTGCAGAAGGCAAACCATTTATTGTGCTCCACTGAAAGATGACAGCTGGGACAGCAAGCGAACGAGGGAAATGCAGGATTAGTTGTTCAGCAAAGTGGATAAATGATACTGACTCATCAAAATACACATTTTCAGGTGGTTTTTTTAAAGGTACACTGTGTTGATGTTAGGACATAATAATTTCACAGAATGTTGGCACAAATGTTACAAAACCTTTTCCTTCGTCTATTAATTTGAAATGTCCTGAAACACGCACCATTTTTCACCATCCCTGGGCAGAGGCAAATAGCAGTAAGTGGAAAACAGCAAAGCCAGGCTAACTGTCCTTTCTAAGTTCTGTGAAGTGACAAAGAAACTCCATTTTTTTCTTATAAATTCCAATTACCCCGTAGACTAGCACCTGCCTGACACTAGAGTGTACAAAGAGAAATTTCTTAGAAAATCCAAATGAGGACATAGGTGAGCATGAGCATTAAGGGTGTCCATTGCAGGCTAGAAAAGGCTTGTGCTCACCTATACCCTCATTTGGGTTTTCTAAAAATTTCTCTGGACTAAAATCCAGTCAGGCTGCAGTCGGGAGGACATCCTTAGGCAAGGATTCACATGGATAAGCTTGGCCTCTGTCTGAGCTGCAAAAATGGGCTTAGATCTAAAACTGGCCGCCTTCTGCAGACAGTTGGGATTTCCTTTCCTTCTTGCTTTGCTGAAGATCACAAGAGGAAAATAGTAAAGTTTTTCTTTCCTTCTAGTTACACCCTGGAAGGGCACTACTTCATCATTCCTCACCTAGACGTTTGTGACTCCCTGGTCTGCCCAAGCCCCTCTCGGCTGATGTTTTGTGGGTCCAGTGAGGTTCTCCTAATGAGGAAGCAAGGGACAAAGCTCCCCCTCCTTTACTCCCTGGCCCTGAAACCTGTCTCGGCTGCAGTGCAGCTTGTCTTTCTTAATGAGCATGGGGCAACCGTGAAGCTGCTGCTGCTGTCTCTCCTGCTGTACGGCGAGACTTTAACAGCCAGGCCTGGTGACTCCATCAACTATAATCCCTAGAGGAGAGCTTTCATGTCCAATGAACAGTTTATCCACCTGCACCTCGGCTTTTGTAAAATACTGAATTATATGTCCTCTAGGCAAGAATGTGGCAAATCTACACAAGTTCCAGCAAGAACTTTCCAAATCTGCACAAATCCAGGCCTTCCAACGTGACGCCACATGGGAGTTCTTTACTGCACCAGTCTAAGATTTACTATACTGGCTGAGCTTGCAAGTAATAAAAGTGAATATTTTTATGATTAATATTACATATTAGGGTGCCCCCCCAGCACCTTGATGGTGTTTTTGTTCTTTGTTTGTGGTATATTTCTTTGTTACTAGCCAACCTGTGGCTGGAGAACAGAGGAAAAACCAGAAAGAATTCACAAGGAGTCCCACGCAGGCGCAGTCAGACCCATCACAAAGAAGAAACAGAATTCACATCCTGGGGTCTTTTATAAAGGCAGTAAGGAAGCAAATGTATAAAATGTTTCCTTCAAGAAATTAAGCACCACTCCATCCACACATCGCTGTTGTAAGATCTTAGCCAGGTGTACTTTATGTTACTCTTGCGTACATTTGGAATGATCATGTTTTTATCACCTCACTTTATTGTGGAGCTGCCTTAGCTTCGGTCTGTGATCATATAACAAAAACAACTAAGAGTAAAAGCCAACAGTTGAAAGAAAAGGAATGGAGGAGCCTTACTTGGTGGTGTCGAGGTGCCGGAGCACCAGGCCCCGGCCAGCCTCTGTCTCGGCGTAGAGAGTCAGCAAAGCCATGCACTGCTCTTGGACCGCAGGCACCTCCGAAAGCAACAGCGCTGGAAGCTGCACGTTGACGTCAGGGTGCGTGAGAAGCAGGCGCTGGTTCTCCTCTGGAGAGTTGGGCGAGAGGGGAACAAACACATACCCAGATTGTGTCTGCCTGCTACACCAGGTGCTCTTCTGAAAACACCTTGTCAACACCTAGGTCTGCCTTCCAAAAGCCACTTCACTGTCTATCATCCATCGGAGGATTCTGCTCATGGAAGTCATGGGGAGGGAAAGTGCCATGTTTCCATTGATCCCTCTTGTTTCCCTTCACTTTCCATTGCATCATGTCTCAAAGGCAAATACTTCCTCTGCATGGGAAGCCATTCACACCCCATTGAGTGCTACCCTCGAAGCACCCTTTAAGGTGAAGACACAACAGAGTGTGAATTACAGCTCGTTTAGGGAGCTTCGTGCTTGGGAAGTGAATCCGGTCACCTTTTCTCAAACCCCTTTTCTCAGCTTTCACTATATTCCCTTGAGGAGCACAAAGAAGGTCATTCCCTCCTGCTCCAAAGGGACCCAATAGGATCTACTTCCAAGGCAGGGAAAGCCTGGTAGCAGCCAGACAGCTGGGTCTCATGTGCGCTCATGGATGTGAAGATTCCTTTGAGAACCTCATATGCAAAGAGGTTACTTTGCTGCAGGGGCAATAACCCCCTGCAGCAAGAACCCAGCCAATAATCTAATCATGTGCATCTCTATCCAGTTCCAGTGGCATTGAGATTTCCTCCCCACAACCCCTTCCAGACCTCTGAAGCAAACTTTCTCAGGGTGCACAGGGTGGAGAACAGTGAACGTGAAGGAGGGATAGTACTGATTCTGGCAACAGGATCCAATGGACAACACACTATTGGATCTTGGCCACCATGAACCAGAAGGAGCCAGAACTTCTGTTCAATAATCCGGGCATGCACACAGAGGGAGTTAAAGTCGGAATGTCTCCTGAGCTGCCTGAATCAGTTTAATATGCACAGTCTGAAGGAAAGCAGATGGCAGCCACAGTGGGGAATCCGCCTTTCCACTGCTCAAGTTGTTGTCATAATTCTATCAGACCTGTAAATCTTCCCTCCACAGCAAAGTCTATGCATGGTCAGCACATGCAGGAGTGATATACGCTCAAGCAGAGCTGAAGTTGTATTAGCAGTGCATTAGCCATTACTCATGTTGATTACCGTTGCCTCTGCAGACTGCCTGCCACAAGAGGAGAATGGAAAGAGACAGTTCGACTTCAGCAGGCAATTTGGCCTTGCTCTGGAAGGCTCTGGAAAATAAACGAGCTCATTAAAGCTCAGGGAAACATTTCCTGTTTTAGACGTGGGTTCCGTAGACAACAGAACCATTTAGCAACAGTGATAGGGCTTTTTTTTTTTTTACAACTAGAGCAACTGAGGTTTAAAATGATAAATGCAAAGTTGGGCATCAAGATGCTTGCAGACTTTGGATGCTTTGTGGAGAAAAACAGACCTTGCAAAGCCAAGTTATATGTTTTTCCAGCTGAGATACACTGCAATCCTCCCCCCCCCCCTTGGAAACACAGCTAGCAGCTAAACTAATAAGACTACAGGGGAAGTATAACAATAGCGCTCACTTTGAGAAAAACTGAAAGGCTTTAACTATTGTTCTGGGGGTGGGAAATCTTTGAGTCATTTGGGATATTTCAAATTCTGGTCATTTTCAATGGGGAAATTGGACAAGCTCCAGATCTCACACTTCAGTCATGTGCAGTTTGGCTGCAACCTTCACGGCAGGCACTTCGTTAAAGGTATAATAGGCCATTTTTGAGAAGGCTATAGAGGCAGGGTGCTGTGGCATGGGGACAACGCCTTCCTTCTGAGGCACACCTCTGTGAGGCATGGTGTCCTTCACATCACCACATTGTTTTCACTCACCTACTGCTCCCCGATTTATATCTCCCTCAATCCCACTACAGTACTTCTGTTCAATCAAAGAATTACAACAAAATCAGAAGCAGAAATATGCTTTCTTGTCTCCTCTGGGCATCAGCTTGAGCCCTCTAAAGAAAACCCTTCCTTCTTGACAATCTAGTACAACACGGTCAAATCAATACAGCTACGATGGAGGAAGCCAAGGATACATCTCGCACAGAGATGGTCTCTCTTGATTCTGATGCTGAAAGAGACCCACCAAAGTTACGCCACCAAAATCAAAGGCCCCGAGGGGGCCAAACCCCCTTTCCCAGCATAAAACAGTTGAGCATCCGACTGCCTCAGGCAAAGGCACTTTGGCTGAAAATATCCAAATGCTCTGTCTCTGTGTAAAGGCAGATTCATAACACTTCTCCATCTCATACTCTTTTATGCTGTGTTTCCTTCACCTGCCCTTGCTCCCGGGACTGGAAAATTAAAAAAGCTAAGCCTTCAGAAGGAGCACAGAGGACACACTGAAGGGCAGGAGGACTTCGCAGCTGTCTGCTACGTTATCGGCTGATCGGCCCATCTAAATTTCATAGGGTGATTGTGTTTCTTGCCGATAGCCTTGCTACCGCTCTGTCGTGTAACTCTTGAGAAGAGCCCTTACCGTCTTATGACCTCGTTGTCATTGATGATACTGAATCCATTGTTTGTTCTAAATATGACTTGCTCAGTGCCTGTAGTGAATTCAAAAACAAAAACACATCAGAGAAGCCTCTCATGGGAAGACTGACCCACAGCAGAGAAGTACGTAGCACCATAGCTGGGGGAAACGTTACGTTACGTTTTCTTTAATCCTTCAGGACAGTTTGCACAAGATTGCCGTTATCTTGCAAATGCTTAAAAGTGCTGCTACAAAGCAGGTGAGCTTAATTTCTTTTCTTTTGCAGGATAAAGGAACGGAGAAGGAAATGACCAATGAGATAAAACCCGCTCTCTGGGTTTTATGTTTCATGTCTGTCCACCAGCTATGGAGTCTGTTCTGAAAGTCTGGAATGTGTTGTGTGTAAAGTGGCCTTACGTTGGTTTTATTTTGCACTTCTTTTCCTTCAGAAAAATAAATGTTACCTTCAGCTCAATTTTTCTTTGCTTTTGCTTTGTTTTTGTTTTTGCCACAGATTACATTTCACCCACTTGGGCGAACAAAGGACCTCATTTTCATCTCATGGGAAGACAGACTTCTATTCAGTCAAAGCCCAGTATTAAAAGACAAGACAACTGAGGCCACCATGTCAGCAGAGAAAAACTAAGCAAAGCAAAACAGTCTGAATGCCACACAGTGGTCAGAACAATACGCTCAGGGGTGATCAGGAGCCTCAGCGACACGCGTTGGGCGTTGCTCAGACCCCAGGCGTTCTGCTTCTATGCTGCAAAGTCTCAGAGTTTATTCCTAGCAAGAATACTCTTCACAGGGGATACTCACCATCTTGTATCATATCAGTCAAAAGTCTAATCCCACCCGCATAGTAGAGGATGTTCTCATCAGGTCTGCTGAGTTTCTGGAGCAACTTGGCAACGGACAAGACTGTGGGCTTTCCAGATTCAAACTCCTCCATGGCTTTCTCCTCCTCGTGCTGTCTTTTCTCTTTCAAGTCTATTTCCTTTATGCACTCTTGAAAGTAACAAAAGGCAAAGCAAAGAAATAGGACACGGAATTTATAGCAAAAATTTGCAGGATTACATGAAACATGGAAAAATCTTAGGGTGCAACAGCTGTGTAAGGCTGCAGTAAATGTTGTAGTTCAAATTCAGGAGGCTAAATATGACTTTAGCATGATACGACGATTAACATGATACCAAAAGCAAAAAACAGCCGGCCCCTCCACCCCCAACAAAAGAAAACCCTGACTTTCATAATCCTCACCTCTGCACAGCTTGTCTTTCTGGGGATTAATTTCTAAAATCTTCAGATAGCACTCTCTGGCCTGAAAGAATAAGGAAATGTGTAGAAACAATTAAAAGGGATGAAAAAGAACCAGTTATGCAAAACCTGATTCAATGGCTTTTATATAGCATAAGACACCTTCCAAATGATTTAAATCAGAACTCTGAGCCTCTTGTTTGTGTGTGTGTGTGTGTGTGTGTGTGTCGAGCGCGCACACACACGCACGGTGTGTGTGTGTGCGCGCGTGTGCGTGTGTTTGTGTGTGAGAGCTAAAAACTAACATTATTCTAAGTAACTGTCTGAAGTTAGTGGAACTACTGATACAAAAATAATGGGGCACAGAAGAACAGACAGAAATGCTTCAAAAACCATAGAGGCCTTACCTTACTGTACTGCCGCTGGGCCAAGTAAGCTTTTCCCATATGAAATAGAGCTTTGATACATTTTTCATCGCACTGCATAAACAGAATTATAAAGTGAAACTTGTAGATAATTAGTTTCCTACAGTTATGCAACACAACCATAACAAAGACTCTTCATTACAGCACACTGACCATTGTTATGCCCTTTTAAAGAGCCAGTAGGTTTCCATTTTAGGATAAAATGCCACATCAGGCCGAAGCAAAGTCTAGGTATGTGCCAAGCACCCTCCCTGTAGGGTTGCTAAAGATCAGAGACTTGAAAACAACATGAAACACAGAAGAACCAACACCAGTATTTAAGAAATTGCAGTTTAGCCTTTTGGAAACACATGTAGAATGACTGACATCCAAGTGCTGGTAATAACGGTCTGCTATTTCAATCCTTTCCAAGGCAAATGACAACTACCAACAAGGAAATACAGAAGTGAGATAGTAGCTTTTGAATTAGGAGGCAGCGCTGCTTTTGAAGTTACAGGAAACGGAGTCCTAGAGTTTGCTCTTGCTTGTCAGGGTGTCTTCTATCAGCACATCTGAAGTATCATTCAGCCACACAGACTAAATTATGGGGGCACCGTTTATGCCGACAGATTCTTATTAAGCTTCTGGAGATGGGGCCGCTTTACAGCAGTATCGCTGGCCTGCTGTCTAGCGTGGTCCCCTAAATCAGTGGCACTTGCGGTATGACAAGTGACAGGGAAATAATCTTTCAGAAAGCTTTCAAAAATTCAGTTCCTAAGTGGACATCAGTCTTTCTGCTCGTCTCCAAGGAAAGTGGCTGGGATGGCTTCGCCCACCCTGGAAGCCAAAGAAGGTCCCGGCTGCAGGTGGTGACATCTTGACAGCTAGGGAAAACCTCCACTTCTCTTTTGCTGATAGAAAGGGGTGTGAGCAGGGCTGCTCCATCTACCTTCTGTCTCTCTGGAGTGCACAGCCTGAGTCAGAAGGCTCAAAGCCCACTACAAAGTGGTGGAACCCCCCCGTGAATTTGTCATGTGGGGCTACAGCTCTGAAATACAAAAATTAACTCTTGGGAAAGTAATGAAAGGGAAATAGAGAAATCTTAGCTAGGCAAAGCTCAAGGCTGTGAGACAGCTCAAGCCCAACCCAACCCAGCTTTCTGTAGCTTCCATGAAGGAATTCTCCGGGCAATGTGAGATGCTAACTTGACAGGCATAAGCATAGGAGTAGTTCTTGAAAGGTGGTTGCATAGACACCTACAATAGTGGGCTGCTGACATTAAAAGAAAGGAAATCAGATTCTAAATGCTACTAGACTGGCAGGTCTCTTTCTTAAGCAGATGCCACAAAACTCTGTCAATTCTGACACATTAAAGCTAACATTATTAAGGGATGTCAGAAACGCTTCATGCAAATCTGGGTTTTGCAATCCACTTGGAACGTGACAATCTGGGCTCTGGTCGTCCTTGTTCTGTGTGTCAAGTGAATATCACATATGCTGGGGGAATGGAAGAAGAAGATTAGATTTACATAGCTCCTGGGAGATGCGATCGGATAATTAATTTAGGATTAATTACACCTAACTTTAATTCAATATTTGAATTTAAACAAATGAGAAGCTGGGTGGTTATTTCTGTGAAGTAAAGGTACAAATGTTAATCTCTCTTTCCTCACAACGCCTAACACTTCATGCAGCTTTCTAATGGAAGGAAACCATGTCAGGGAAGACATTTTGCGATCTCTCGGAGAAGAACGCCACCTCATTTTAAAATAGCACTTATCACAGAGGGAACACCTAGATTTGGAAAAATGCTTTATGCAGTCCCACACATGGTTACTAAGCAGTAGGCCCCAGAGAGCACAAGAGGCCTGCTGAGTAAAAATGCATAGGATGGCAGTGAGAATCCCTAGCACATCTGGACCAGATGTGACTTCCACTTTGAAGAAAAGGATGCAGGAATGGGAGAGTGCAGATGATGTGCCCAACAACACCATGTTAGATATTAAGACTCGAACCCAGGTCTTCTGCTGGGCCCACCTGCAAATGCCATCACAAAGCAACAGAGACACACAAAGCAAACAAGGAAAGCAGAGCAATGTGGGAAAGCATATGACTTTTCTTTGGCAGTGGCTGGCGCACATCAGGACTGAGAGGGCTGGGTGGCCAATGAAGGGAAGCCAAAGTCAACAGGAGGAGGAAATAATCAGCTTTGCTCCTTTCCTCCTCTGTTGCAATGATACAGCAGGACAAATGCTCAACATTCAGCATCTAACTGAACTAAAAGATCATGTCATGCTGATTCAATAGGCTTCCGCACCACCATGCTGGATTCCCAGCTGGTAGCAGGAGGGGGTGGCCTCTACTCCCTCTGCCAACTTTCTCTCTTTGCCAGACGAAAAAGACAGGATCTTCTTACCCTTAAAGCCCAATCACAGTCACTGAGAGCTTTTTCATACTTCTGTAACTTGATGTACGCCTGAAAGAGAGAGCGTCAGCAAAGGCATATCAATTTAAGTCTTGCTGCAAATGAAAACACAGAGCCTTTTTAAAAAGACTTCCTCACTCGGAGCATTCAGCTGGCCTCAAAACATGAACTGAAGCAATCTGCTCAGGGGGCTCCCTGAGAGTCTGGTACCAGGCTAAGGCTCTGTGAATCTTAGAATGGTGGAGGGCATACAGACATGGGAGGGGCTTCCATCTGAAATGAAAGATAAAACAGCAGAAGCAGATTGACCAAAGCCAAAGATGCTGTAAGGAAATGGATAACAGGGCACGGCCAACGAGGAGACTTCGTAACGCTGAACAAAAAATAAGCAGGCACCTGTGCTCTGTTGGTGTACAGCACCTGCGCATCTTTCTGCTGGTTGAGACCTTCAGTGTACCTCCTGATGGCTTCTTCATAATCTCCTTTGCTGAAAGCATCATTCCCCTTTTCTCTCAGTTCTGTCGAGGGGAATAACAGTATTCATGAGAAACCCAAAACAAGCTGATTGATGATCACCTGCTAGACTCACGGTCAATCCATTATAAATCCCCTTTGTTACTGCTTATATTGCTATAAAATAGGGTTCTTTGTATCTGATCATGCATATAGCTATTCTTCTATTAATGGAAGATCTTGTTGGTGCTGTTCATAACGTTGCTGGATATTTCAAATGTTCCCAAAGCCGCTTTGTGCCATGACAAAGTGGGATGTTGGCTTTCTCATCCCAGCGTGAGTGCTTCTTTTAAAACTGCTCCCACTCGGACCCACAAAATACCAGCATCCAACTGTTACCATTTGCTAAGGCTTCATTTTCCTTCCTTCGCCTTGCTCGCTCTTCAGCATCCTTTTCCATAGCAGCCATGAAACTTTCTGAAAAGGCATTAAAGTTGAGATGAAAGTTTAATCAAAAGAAAAGAGTTTGCCTTTTTTTCTAAAAAAAGAAGTCACATTGCAGAGCATAATAATTTCTGCAATAGAAATCTAAAGGGGCAATTTCACTAATGTGATACCAAATCAGAACCAGGGTAATAAGCCTCCATTTACAAAGACCTGCAATGCTGATGGTAAATGTAATAACTGCCTTTGAATGAAGCTCCTATCCCTAGAAGAATAAGGCTTTCTAATTTCTGGATAATAAAGTGATTACAATATGCTGAATTGCATCTTCTAACACAATGAAGACGGGAGTTCATTGGGCTTGTTATGGAGATGACAGAAATTGGTTCTGATTTTGGATCTGAAAGGAAAAACGGTCTCCGATTGTATAGGATGCCACTGATTCAGAACAGGCCATGTGCCACACCGGTCTATGAACAGAATGAGGGAGCCAAACAAGGTCTAAGACAAAAAGGACACCTGTTTAAGCTAAACCTTTGCACCAGCACACCAGGCATACAGGAACTAGTTAAAGAAAACAAAATAAAGAAATAAACACAAGCAAGCAAGCAAACAAAACTAAGAGAAGATCAACACCAAAAGTACGTAACTGGACTTTCATGAAGGAAAAAAAAATCTTTTTCTGCTTCCAAATAATTGCTCTGTCCTGTAGCCATATTTGTTCACCCTAGCTTGAATGGGGGATCTTGAGAACACACTGATGCTCCGGAACCCAAGTCCCATGCAGGTTATGGCACTCTGACAAGGGAAAGACGGCCATGATGGACCAGTCCTCTGATACAGCAGTATGCAGGGTCTCCAGGGGCTAAATGGAATGGGTGCGGAAGTCATCCAGACAAGGAAACAAAGTCTGCTCTTTTCCAAACACTGTTCCCCACATCCCCAAATGAAAATGGCACAGGAAATCTCCTGGAATCTAGACTTCTTTGATTTCAGGATTCTCCTATACATACGCTTGAAAGATATGAACGATATCTAGAAAGCCTGAGCTAGATACTGTTTAAAATATACATGCATAGCATTTATTTAATCAGTATCCTAGCAAGATTCTTGGGTAACTCTAGTTTTAAAGCACACTGGAGCAACCCACCCAACATCATACCTGGATTTATCATTTCTTCCTGATTTTGCAGGCCCTGAAAGAAGTTGACCAAAACACAATGTTAGATGCAGGTTCTGGAAAATAAAGGGTGTGTTGTAATATGCAATTCAGTTTTTTGTTGTTTTTTTTTAAATGTGAAAAAATACGACTAGTGAGAAAAACAAAATGTGCCAATTTTTTGAAAGCCACTTAAAACAGGATTTCATAATAACCTATATTTTGGTAGTCTTTAAAGGGAAGGAAAGAGACCAAATAAACAGAAAAATCCATATAATTCAGAGCTTAGGCTACAAAAATCAATTTGGCAAAGTATTGTACAGACATTTCAGCTGGACAAATTGTTGATCCAAGTTGACATTTTAAGTGGCAATAATGGCAGGTTCCTGCATGTTTTGCAACTGAAGCCCTTCTTTGACAAAAAAGCTCACTTTCCATGCTATAAATGTTTATAGGGTGGCACTGGCCAACCTGGACCGCTCCAGTGGTATTGGGCTACACATGCCAGTGGGGAAGGTGGGAGGGTGATCCCAAACACCTGGAGGATAACAGGATTGGGAAGGCTTTTTTAAAAAAATATTTTTTTAAATAGAAATCAGTCCTGAAAAGATGAGTTCTAAAAAGGTTTTCTAGCAGGGCATAGCGGACCAGTTTGCATCCCAGCGTGACTTATTTACTCTTTGTTCATTTGAAATGATTCTATAGCATCAGCCAGCTGACCTCAGGCTACCGTACTTCCATTTGCATTACTCTACAAATGCAGTAACAAAACAGCAAACTGAAGGTCTTAAAATAACTAACACAACCTGTTAATAGGCTTGGAACTTAGAAACCTTTACTGAAAGCCATGCAGCAGTGCTACTAGGTAAGCCTCTTTGACAAGCTATCAGAATTAATTTAAATGATCTGTTTCATTCAAGAGTGGCTGGAGTTGAGGTGCCACAGTCTTCAGAAGGACCTCACTTCCACAAGGGAATCTTTATAATGGGAAAATAGTCAGCAGAGTCTTCTAACTCTAAGGAAGTGTAGAAACCTTTACTGAAAGCCATGCAGCAGTGCTACTAGGTAAGCCTCTTTGACAAGCTATCAGAATTAATTTAAATGATCTGTTTCATTCAAGAGTGGCTGGAGTTGAGGTGCCACAGTCTTCAGAAGGACCTCACTTCCACAAGGGAATCTTTATAATGGGAAAATAGTCAGCAGAGTCTTCTAACTCTAGGGCAGTGTTTTCTTTCCTTCTTTCCTTTCTTTCTTTCTTGTAAATGATAGGCAACGAGGAGAGATGGGAAACACCTTCATGACCCATCCAGTCAATCCCCTCTTGGTGACAGATAATATGTCAAGATGCTGAAGGTTCAAGCACATGAGGGCCAGCATGGTCTACTGGATGGATTGCTGGACCAGGACTTGGGAGATCTGGCCATGGAAACTTCATAGTGATGGCGTAGCAAACCACTTATTGCAAATTCCACATACCTTGAAAACCTTATTGGGACATCATAAATTGGAAGCAATTAGGCGATAAAAATAAAAGGCCAAATCCCGTCAGGTGCCTAGTCCATTGCCTCAGGCCACAAAAACTTGATACAAGCAGGCCAGTCAGCAGGCCAGTCGCTGTTCTGGATGCTCCCACAGGTACTGATCCAACAGTATTGTCAAGATCAGAGTGGGTGTGCATAAATTTACGTACAAGACGTCTTGCAAACTTATCACAGCAACGTTTACAGATTATAACACATCATTTTCCGTGCTGCACCATAACAAATATCTAATTGTTTAGAATAGCTCTGCTGGACGAACTTCTCCAGGAGGTAACTTCGGCAGAAAAGTTACATTTCTTTGCCATTGCTTCTATTCATGGACTTACTGGAGAGGGCTGAGTGTTGATGACTGTCCTGTCCATTCGGCATTTCTGCTCCTTCTCATCTTGGAGCTTAATGGCGCTGAGTCTTTTCTCCGTCTCGGTAATGGCTTTCTCCTGGACAGCAGGATCTGTGGAACTCAAGCCTTGAATTAAGTTGGCTGAAAGGAACAAGGAAGATAAGCATTAAAAATATTGACTATAAAGGGCTTCAGGAAGCACAACCAGGTCAAGATCTAATTCCAGAGTCAGTTTTCTATCTCTGTGGGAGACACTGGCTGTTCTGGATGCTTACTCTCATTATAGTTCCCGCTTTGTTATGCCCTTGCTTGTAGGGAAGCGGATGACTCACACAATGATTGAGATTTCTCCAGAAAGTGAATTAGAAAGTCAATTTAAAGCAGCATTGTAGGGGGAACAGTTGATGGAACTTGCAGATGCTGTAGAAAGCAGCCAAAACAATACAAACAGTGACCTATAGCCTCATCACTCTGTCTTGTCAAATGACCTGTCTAACCCTTGCGGATGCCCTGCAAGTAAAGCAAGCAGCCAAGGAAATCAAGACTTACTACATGATAATAGCTGCTAGAGAGAATAGCACATTTGCTGTAAAATAGGCTGAAACTGCTGGACTAGATATGTTTTGGAAGTGGGTGTTGCGGTACACATTTTCTCTGAGCAGCTCCACACAATTATGCCAGAGGAAAAATTAATTTCAGCAACACCACCTGGATTGAATAGACACTTAGTCAATGGGACCCATCTAAGCACGACGAAGCCACAAGGTCCCTTGTCCAGCAAGATCAGAACTGAAATATTTTAGCTAGCTACTCTTATGAAAGCAGGCATGCTCAATCCTGAGAGAGAAGGAAAGTACAAAAAAAAACATGTATCTTTTAAAAGTATACATATGCATTTGCATCTTCATCTGTTGTTGTAAATGAAAAAAATGCAGATGCATGGATGAAAACGCTAATCTTAAAAAGAGACAGAGGACACTCGAGGATAGCTTTAATTGGCTTTTAATTATACAATGCCCAAATATAATTATAATTTTAATTGTAAGTACATAATAACTTTAATTACATAATGCTTCAATTTGTCACCACCAAAGCACAAAATGTGTGTGACGGGGGAATGTTCCCTTTGGAAATATAAACCATGTGTTATGTAGTAGTTTTGGGTGTCTGAGAGAACAAGGCAAAAAGGAAAATCAGGGCAGACCTTATATTACAAGCCTGGTGATAGAATTTAAAGATGTACTAGGGATCGATCAATCAAAGATCAACTAAGCCAGTGTTGCTACTGCAGCAGATTGGATATAAAAATCTAGAAACTTCTCATTTTTTACGACAATGGCACAAATTTTGCAGTTTTATATAAGAATACATTCAATCTTCTTTGGGGAATTATGACTCAGACTCAAATTTCTGGAACAGTTTCATCAGGGTGCACGAGCTGTGTGTGCATGTATTCTTTCCTGTTTTACTATCCGGTTTGTCCTAGCCACTTTTTTTTTTAAATTACACTTTAAAGAGCACCCTGTTCTTTTGCTGGATCTCCATGCTGGAATTATATACTCGATGAGTTGTCAAGATTGCATAATGTTTACAAAGAGTTTTTGAAACTGTCAGATGAATAGCCGTCAGGATGTCTGGAATGCTTTTCCACTATTGATCGTCATGACAGCATTTGCTAACCTCGATTTTTAAGACAACACTGACAACACAGAAAACAATAAGGCAGTTTTTCTCATTATCAAGTCTCTGAGCAATCATTATTGTATCTCTGAACCGTCATACAAGAAAAAAGTTGTTCCAATACATCTTCTAATCACATTCTTTCTTTTTCGGTGTGTTTTCCGTGGAGTCTTTCCAACACTTTGTTTTGTTAAGAAGGGCTTCAAGATGAGCATTTGCAGAATAACCAACCAGTCTGATCAAGGGTAGAAAAAACCCCAGACATCAAGGTTTTTCTGACCCTGGAAGATGGTACACTTCTATTAAACAAGTGATTCTAAACACTTTAATTTCCTATTCAGGTGACTAATAGATATTACCTATACAAATATTGATTGTATAGGATTAGTGCTACCTGGGTTTACCATTTCTCAGAGTGTTATTTGTTTGATCTTTTTTACTGTTTGTAGACTTAATGTTTTTAGTTTTAAATATTGTCTTTTAAGGATGCCAGCTCCCTCGCGTCCTTTTTAAGGAGAAAGGCAGGATGAACAAATGAATAAATTAAAATTCTATTTCCAACCATAGTTTTGACTTTGCAGTCATTTTGGATCCCATTGTTGATAGTATTCTCCCTCGCAAGCTACAAGATTTCCATTTGTTATGGGTTGTTGTTCTAACAATCAAGTCTGGGAGCTAATTTGTTTAGCTAGCTATTTTATCATTTTCACTGGGTTCATTTTCTGTCAGCAGTGTATTGACTAAGTCAGCTCACAGTTACAACTACAGTAAATTCTACAAGTAAAATTGACTTTGCAAGTATTTCAACCCTCCAACCTCAGTTTCAGGAGTTGGGGCATTTCCCCACCATCACCCAGGAAAGAAATTGCACCCTTTAGTAACAGTACTGGGGATAGAAATGCTCAGCTCAAGTCCTGCTCTGTTTAAACATATTTATGGTCTACTCACTAACTTCATCCACATCCTGAAGGAACCTCTGCAAATCCTGTTCATCTTGCTGGTTAGACATTTTCTTCTGAAATACAGTATTGGGAAAAGTCATATGAAGGAAGGCGGGTGGGAGAGAAAACATATTTTGCAGTGTCTAACGTTTGCCATCTTGTGGTTGTTCTACGAATTTATTTTCTAAGATACAGTAGTTAATCTTTTTCATGCTTCTATTGGGACTTATAACTCCTCAAGGTGTATATAATACCTGAAGATCAGGGGTATATAGTGTCCGAAGATCAGACTTACAACCATGGTGTCCGCTGAGAAAGCTCTGGGTATTCAAACTCTTAGATGTAGCACTCCTAAATGTGTTTTGTAAATATGGGGAAGAATACTAACAATGTAACAAAAAAATTTCTATTTGTTTTCACATCCAGTTCAGGGCAAATCTCCTGCTGATGTGGAAATGCAGTTCAGCCCTAAACCAAAGCGGCATCAACCGCTATTTGGAGCAAGAACCCCATCAGGACCAGATTCACATGCCCTGACCTCAGCACCTGCCATTTCCATTTATATGGATGATATCACAACTTCCTGCGCCCCCCCCATCTATGTGAGCAACAATCATTGACTTTAAAAATGGAACAATCCATCCATAAGAAGAGCACATGCAGAAATGACACTGAGGTCCCCTTAAAAACAGAGGATGCCCCCATCATTGGGGGGGGGAAGCGGTCCGGAGGGTCAGGTGGGACGTCTGGGCAGGAGCTGCCTAGGGGAGAACCCTATTCTAGGGGCACCCCCACCCTCTGGGCTAAGCAGGCGGCTTTCAATGACTCCCCGGCAAAGAAGAAATACTTGGGGGGTGGGCTGGCTCTCCTTGCACCAAGGAATCAGGGAATACTGATACTGTATACTATATAAAGCCTATCCACGGGATCAGTATCCACTGATTCCTTGACCCATGGTCCCCAACTATTAAAAGAAAAATAATAATCATGGAGGATAAAGTGAACCCCCGGCCGGGTGCCTGGAGGGAGCCAGAAACCACGCGAGCTAGGTTCAGGGTTCGCTATCATCCGCGTTTCTCCGCATCCACGGCCTGAGAGGACCCGAAGGGCAGGGCTTCTCATCATCTCCCTCCCCTACGCCCGCCATCAAGAAAGTTGCTTTTTTGCGTGGGGGGCACACCCGTATGGCGTGGGTTTTAGCTGGGGGGGGTAAAGAGCTAGGTTCAGGGTTCGCTATCATCCGCGTTTCTCCGCATCCACGGCCTGAGAAGACCCGAAAGGCAGGGCTTTTCATCATCTCCCTGCCCGATACACGCGCCATGGGTGGTGGTGGCACCTCCTCTTTCACCTCACGGCATGGGGGTTTGAAATCGGGAGTTTTCCTTCTCCTAGATGGGCTGCCTTCCAAGACTAATGAGCCCCGTCTATCCGGATTCTGACTTAGAGCAAGCCTTTTCACGACTTTCTAGGTAGACAGAACTCAGAAGTGGTTGACTCTTCCCTTCTTCTGCACAGGCCTTGCGCCTGTGCAGCTTGCCCAAAGCCATACAGGGTGGCTCTCCTCTTTGGAGGTACCATGGGGAATCGAACTCCCAGCCTCTGGCTCTGGAGACAAATATCTAAACCACTGAGCTATCCAGCCAGCTAAAGGAAGGCAGCCGTGATTTAAAAAAAAGAGAGAGAGAGAGAGAGAAGTGGAGGCGAAACGGAGCGTGTTTCGAGGCCACCTACCTCGGGGCGAGGGAAAGAGGCGCTGGGCGGCCGCGGCCAGAAACAGGCGAGGCCCGGTGTCGGCTTTGCCAGGCCGCAGCGCGTCCCGGCGGTCGCCCTAGCAACCGTTCGGGGCTCCAAGATGGCGGCCCTCCGGGGGAGGGGCTATGCAAAGGAAGGAGGGGCGGGGCGAGACCCACGGACACGCCCACCCCGCCTCGCCTCTCAGTTGCCTGGTCCCTGAGGGAATCTCAGGAGTCCGTCAAGAAAACATAACATCCCCTACACACGACGTGACCTTGAGGGGGGGGTGTTTGCTCATTTGGGAAACACACACACACACCCCATACCTCCACAGTGCTATATTGCCTCAGTTTACCTCGCTGCAACACTCATGTTCTGTCACAAAGACTTTGAGGGGGGGGAGCTTGAAATGAGAATTATCGGCAATGGTATTTCCTATGAAATTTAGCAATAATAAAAGTGATGCAAAACAAATCTACCTTTGTTTTCTTTGACTCCCTTTGACGCTGCACTAGCTAAGTGAAGAAAAAGTCAGAAGACGTTCAGATGTTTCACATAATTCCCTTCTTAATATATATATACTGTATATATGGGCTAGTTATCACCGATTTACACCCCCTCCCACCATTATTCTTTTTTAAAAAAAACAGTTTATTTATTCTGCTCGTTCTCGCCTCCCAAAACCGTGTTTATTGCATTCATGGGTTGAAATAAATACAAGCCATCTTTCTGGACTGCAAAATAAAAGCAGAAAAATACCCTGATATTACGATGAATCTTGACAGATAAAACACATCTTTTTAAAAGCCATTCAGAACAGGCCTTCAGAAGCTCCCGCTCCTCATCTCTGCTTTCTAGGCGTGTTGTGGCTCCTTTGGGGGTGAAGCTTGGGGTCCTTTAACATTTAAAGCGGAGGGAGAAGGTGGACTGCAAGGAATGGGGGGGCAGTGTTTGGCATTTCTTGGGGTTCTCCTCGGACTGCTTGCCAATCATCCTCACCATCTGGCTTCCCCATCAGCAGCTTCCATAGGGTATTATTATGCTGAAACTCATCCAGGGGACAAGCTTGGCCTTGGGGGGCTTCAGTTCTCCTCCTCAGGGCCCCCCACCACAGGCCGTGCCAGGGTCCCAGCCCCACTGCGGTGGGACTCTTGCAGTCTTGACTGGTCTTGATCCCAGAGTGTGTGGCCAGCATGCTTCTGAGCAACAGTTCCAGGTCCGGTTGGTCTCCCAGCTCACCCGGCAGCATAGCTTCCAAGAGATGCCATCTGATGCCTAAGGGACCCTCTGGATGCAGCACTCCAAGAAACATCTCTCCCATAATTATTTAAATTATTCCAATATGGCCAAAAACGCCAGCCCTCTAATTGAGGGATTATCTTTCATGCTGTCACGATTTGCTTTTCTCCTCACCAACCCAATCACTCAGTATAATTTGTCGCCAGAGTTCAAACATGTCCAAATGAAGGTCACCCATTTGATTTAGAAGGAGATTTGTATGCAGGTAGAAAATTGTGTTTGAGTAGGTTGGGGAGGAAAAAGGAACTGTGCAAGCTTGCAAGCATTTTCCTTTATTATAATTATTTCAAACATTCTCCAGCAGAACCCAGGCTCAAATTAAGCTCTCTGGACCTCCTTATCTTCAAAACACAGATGCTGAAATGGCCATCCGCTCTCTTTTTCTCGCTCTTCCCCTCTCTCCCAAGCTTGTTTGCAAAATACTTACAGTATTTGTTTATAGACATTTATCTCCCCCCTCCAGTCTACGCACTACAATCAGTCAGGACAGATTACAAGTTAAAACCACAGTGTCAAAAAATACATTAAAATACAACAATAAGAATACATTAAATACAACAATAAAATGCATTAAATTGCCACAAAGGCAGCCATCATAGATAAAACTTAGCATTTATATTGAAAGCAGTCTCAGGTTTTGAATAAATGCCTCTCGCATCTCCCCATTTTCCATTTCTACTTTGCGATCATTGACATGACAAAGAAATGGCTCACCAGCATAACTAAAGGGCTACTTTCTATTCCAGACGAACCTGCTCATCTAGAGGAACAACATAAAACACTCTTTTCCGGCACTCCTAATCGTTGTAGGATAGGCAGGCGACAATCATGAACAGGACTTTTCCTATCATGGCATTCCGATCGTGGAATGCCCTCCCTCCTGAAATAATCATTTAGCACTCTCTCCTCTTTAACTAGGATGGAAAATCAAACACTTCAGCAGGCTAGAATGGGAACTCAGGTTTTATGGTTGCTGTCAACTTTTTTTCTCTCCTTGATTTGCTGGTTTCATTACATTTTCTCGTGTTTGCAAGACTCATTTTAGCAGAAAGGCCAGACAGAAACATTTACGACTTAGAATTGAATCTATGGGGTGTGGCAGAACTCACGGCGTAAAGTTTACTTCTCTGACCTCAGCACAGTTGCGGGTCTACAGGTCTATCTAAGAAGATTCCACTCACACCTTATTTCCTACCACCACTATTGGTTAAACACCTATACGTATACGTCCCCCCCCCCCGAATTCCATTTGTTGGTTGATGGGATGGCTGGGTTTTTATCCTAAAAGGCTACCAAGTGCTAAAGAAATACACCACTTAGCACAAATATTACTGATTTCCTAGGGAAAAGAACGGGATGTGTAACCTCTTGAAAGCAGTTTCCACGCAAGCTTTTTTTGTCTGTTATGAAAGTGATAAGAGATAGATTTTGAATGGGTGCTCCTGTATTCATAACTCAAAAACCATATTGGTAAACTCTCAAAATCAGTATTCCCAGAACTAGTCATTGGTTTGCATAGGGGCTACAGATTTCCTAATTTAAATAGCTAGTTGGTTATATGTCAAACCAAGCCCCCACAAAGCCTCAACGAAGCCTTTGGGACTTGGGGCTTTTTAACCTATGTGGAACCAGATACCTCTGCGTCTGATAAATAATTTGACATACCTGGGCTACAGATTTCCTAATTTAAATAGCTAATTGGTTATATGTGAAATCAAGCCCCCTCTGCATCTGATAAATAATTTGGCATTCCTGAGCTTTGTTTTCTGTTGATAAAAAGCTGAATGTTATTTTAAAAGTTTAGCTTTTATGTTTCATTGTTACTTTTTTTTTTTTTTACAATGATTGGCGATCTCTTTGTGTACATATATGTCTACAATATATTGGCTTGTCTTTGGAAATAGAAAGGAAGGACACCTCCAGGGATATAAACTGTATACACACAATCTTTTATTTATTGCATTTTGTATACCAGATAGATGCCCCGTAAGATCCTGTTGTTTCTGCTCTAAGCTTCTTCAAAGAAGAGTTGAACCTTCGTCAACAGGAATGGAAATCTGTACTTCTAGAAAAGTGTCGCTAGGTGGAACCATCTGCTTATCTAAACAACAACCACTCATCATTACCCATGGTTATTTGTTAATTAGCAGAAGAGGATACAGATTCTTCATGTAGAGGAATCCAAAATAACAACAGAGTAACCCTTTTAACCAAGTAAAACTTCACAAAGTGGCACCATTTGTCTGTTACACCCTCACACTAGCTCTCTGCAGAAGCTTGGGCTTGTTGTTGTTTAGTCGTTAAATCGTGTCCGACTCTTCGTGACCCCATGGACTGGAGCACGCCAGACCCCTCTGTCTTCCACAGACTCCCGGAGTTGGGTCAAATTCATGTTGGTCACTTTTATGACACTGTCCAGCCATCTCGTTCTCTGTCGTCCTCTTCTCCTCTTGCCTTCACACTTTCCCAACATCACGGCCTTTTCCAGGGAGTCTTCTCTTCTCATGAGATGGCCAAAGTATTGGAGCCTCAGCTTCAGGATCTGTCCTTCCAGTGAGTACTCAGGGTTGATTTCCTTCAGAACGGATAAGTTTGATCTCCTTGCAGTCCAGGGGACTCTAAAGAGCCTCCTCCAGCGCCACAATTCAAAAGCATCAATTGGTGCAAAGTATATGTGATGATCACCAGACTCAAAATCTACCCACTCACACTGATTTTCTTCAAGCTATACACTGACTATCATTACTGAGTTCCCATCTTCACCTATGTCCCCCCCCCTCGTCTCACTTCCTTTCAGCTCTTTCAGCTAACCCAGCGCCATTAATTCTCCACACAGCCACAGCGTGCGTTTTCAGGTCCTGAATTCCTGGCTAGTCTAATTCTGCGCAACATCATGAATGCATAAGCGTTGGAAGAGTGGAACGACCGTGGGATAAATTTGCCGAAGTCATTTTCCTCAGCTCTCACCCATTAGCATGATCGTGCCTGCCTTCTGAGAAATTCATTTAAATCGCTGCTCCTCAGGTAAATGTGAGTTTTAATCTTTCTTCTCCCATTACACTTTTCCTTATATTGTTAAATGGACGCTTTCAAAGCCAGAATGCCAAGCAAGTCATTAGATCAGACTGGAATGCAGAATCGGTTGCCTTCTTTCTAGCGAATGAATAATCAGGAGGAAACATAATGGGATGGGGACGGTGCCCACACCATGGTAAGCACACCCAACCCATCATCTCTTCACTCCCCCCCCCAAGACCTGGAGAGGTCTTTTAGGTTGAAGATTTGTTGATGTCTGGTCCATTCCAGGAGGTGGCCTTCAGGATTTACTACATGGAGAAAAGAAAACCAGAGATTCCTGGTGTGTTGAAGCTCCCCATCCCCACCATCAAACAGGCATGAAAGAGAACCATTATGGGAAAGACCTTTCCCTCTTCTGCAGTTCTTCCCCAGCCCATCTTAACCATTTAGTCACTGGGTGTGACTTGCCGGTGCCAGTAGGTAAGTGAATAGGAAAAATTACCATCTCAAGGGTCCTGCCCCTGAGCTGGAAGGGTCTTTTATTTCAAGAAGAGAGAAGTTTTGGAAAAAGCTATGAAGTGAAGACCATGTCAGCAGTTGGCTGTCCACTAGATGGCAATCCTAGCCAAGGGGTGAGCTAGCGCGCATGCTGTGTGCAGGCAGGCATTCTTGTGCATGTATCTTACAGACAGACAGACAGACAGACAGACAGACAGAGATCCTACATAACGTGTAATCTCTGCGGAAAGCCCCAGGAAATTCCTTACCAACTTCACTGCCAAGGAGAAGAATGTTGTTTG